AAAAAAAAAAAAAAAAAAAAAAAAAAAAAAAAAAAAAAAAAAAAAGGATAAATCTTCACGAGCAACGTTTTTTTGTGTCCACAAGTGTTCTGGTTTCAGTTTTTGGTTTTGTCTCACTCTTTGATTTAACAGAGGTCTGTCCCAGCAAAACTATTCCTAGGCAATGCTGGCKTCATCGCATTCACCAAAATAGGTCGTGCATCACCATCAAGCGGTGTGACACAGAATTGCACTCTCCTGAGGGTTCAGTTTTTTCATCGATACTGCTGGGTTGTCTATTTTTTTGACCTTTGTGAAGCAAAGTTATTTTGAATCTTTAAATGAAAGCAGAACTTAAAAATACACTGAAAAACTTGCATGTCTAGCTATGCTATTTGTGGTCCTCTTCTTCATCTATACCTTTTGCTGAAAATTCTCTCACCAGTTATATTTAAAGACGGAAAAGATGTGAAATGAAGCTGTTCAGTGGTATAAGAGAGCATCCTCCCATCACAGAGTGCTTCCCTCACACTTTTCACAGAGCATTATTCTTTGAAATCTGAATAAGGGTCTTAAGAGCTCTGTCTCCTGCCTGGCAGTCTGTGGCACAATTCAGGGTTTCATGGCATACCTACAGGAAGGGAGAGGGCTGCAGCAAGAAAAACAATGTCTAGCAGGACAGCAGGGAGGGAGGAGACCCCAGGGCAGCACATCAGGTGAGGACAGCACTGCAGGGAGRGAGAAAGGGATGTATGGATGCTGAACAGGGTAGATGGAAGGAAAGAGATTAAGTTTCATGCAGGTGCAGTCAATGAATTCCGTAGCTGAAATCCTTTGCTTTGCAGGGAACAGATTTCCCTGACTTTAAGGGATGAGCTTTGAATTAAGCTGACAATAAAATTCCAGCTAATTCAGGCTGGTAACTGATTTGCAGATCAGGAAAAGGAACTTTAAAATAAATTTGACTGCATCTGGATCCACACCCTCAGCAGCTGAAAGACCCTACCTTAGGTCTACAAAACACAGGTGACAAAATGTACTGTTTTTGCAGAATTGGTTTCCTCAAACTTTTAAATGTATTCTGTGAGACACAGGGTTCTCTACTGGTGCTACAAACTTGAACAGCAGGATTCTTACAGAGGATCTAAGTAGTTCCTAAGATGGGAACCTAGAGTGAGGCTTGATTTCTTGATTCAGAGTTTGATTACTCTTTAATTTTATTTAGTTGCCTCTGCTGGTCCAGCAGGAGCTGTATCAAGAGAGTGCTGTGCTGCTTCTAAAGCTTCTCTACTCATGGACTGTCAGATCAACCTTTTATGCACTGCTCCAGATACCCAGCGGCATTACAGCAGGAGAGTAAACTCCTCCTGCTTTTCCACTAGACTGATGGACCCTCAGATTTCCCCTCGACCCACTACAAAGATGAGCAGTGAGTGGAGTGAGGAGCAAGCAATGACTGTCCTGCAAACTGGTGCTGGTGCTGGGTTGGCCAGCCACACTTCCTAGAGAGCCACTGCTTATTGCCTGGAAAAAAGCACTGGGATCATTTGCTTCGGTAGCTTGAGGTCCTAGCTGGCAGAAGGTGAAAATTTTTTGTTTTCAAGCCCGATTATCACTCCCAGGCTGCTGCTCCATAAACCTTGGAGCTGTGCGCGGGTTCAGACCAAGACCTTCCCATAAATCTTCAATCATTCCTACCTCTAACACTGCTGACAAGGGAACAAGCCCCGCTGTCTGTCAGTACAAAGGATCCAGAGCTGAACGAATGGTCTGCATCTCCCTACACATTTGTAGGCRATTATCACCCCATCGGCGAGCTCCAGCTTTGCCTGCATTTCATTTCAGTGTCCCCAGGAGAGTGGCGAGTGTTTGCTGCCGGAGCCGCGCTTCATCCCCGGGATGGGGCGAGCTGCATGCGCTCCATGCTAATCTGACAATGTCATGTTGTGCTTGTTTCCAAGGAGGATTGGTGCTGAAGCTCTGGCGAAAGGCTATGTCCACCGAAGCAGGAAGAAAAATAGGCCGAAAACTGATTGAAAGCTTGACTTCGAGCTTCCTAGCAGGAATTCACAATTATTTGGAAGGAGATGATTTGAARGTTCCCAGTTTCTTGAGGAAGAGCAGTTCCCTCATGGATTGATTTCATCTTTTAGCAGACATATGCCTGGTAATCTGGYTTTGGTAATTTCTTACAGTAGGATTTGCTGAGTAGCCATGTGTGCATCTCTCTCATATGGAATCAATATTTTTATCCTTAATTTTCCTAATTATCTCATTTGTTTAACTAAATTCCTTATAAATGAAAAGCCTCACAGAAAGATCTTACTATACTACTTTTTTTACTACTCTATAAATAATGTATCATTATTCATTGATTTAATTGATTATGAATATGGAGACAAAATTAAACATGAGCAAATTATATTCTGTTTCAGACTGGGTTTTTTTCCCTGTAAGCAGCATTCCACTCGATATGCAATTACTCGGGTCCTTGATGGTCTGATAGATGATTATCAGAATCTTTTCTTTGAAGATCTGATCCAAAAGCAATGCCTCCACTATTTCCCACCAAAGCTGTTATTTTGCAGAGCAGCTGCAATCAAACTGGAAGATTTCACACTTTTTAGCTTAAATACTTGAATGCAGGTAAGTTCCCTTGTGCTACTGCTTCGTATTTTAGGTCTGCCTCACAGTTTAGGTTGCATCTACCACCTCAGCTGATAGCTCAGTCCCACACCCCATGCTCGGAAGGAGGAAGGCGTGTGCTCCTTCCTCTTCTGCTGGAGCACAGCTCCATTCTGTTGCATTCCCTTACCTTATTTCATGTGTAGCCACTGCAGTGATGGACTTCCTGGCACATGAAGAACAATCCAACATGGATATTAAGGTCGATATTTTAACTTTTCCTCCAGCACCATAGTGGCTGAAAGAAGCTGTTGTAGATTTGGTAACCCTGAGCACAGGGTCACTCTGAGGTTGCCCTTAGGGCTCCACAGTCCCAGCAGGTGACCCTGAGGTGGGAGAGCCTCCCAGGCACAAGCCCTTGCTGTCTTTTTGTACTGCCAGTCCAGCTCCAGGCAGAAGGAGAAACATCATCACCATGTCTCCTTCTGAATTATCAGCTATGTGGCAAGGAAATGAATTAAAGGTGTCCATGCCCAAGATGATTGGGTTGAATCTAGATGACCTTTAAGGTCTCTTCCAACCTAAATCATTCTTCAATTCTATGAAAAGAAAATTATTTCTTTCCATTGCACTTTCCCAGTTCGATCGGTCCTTTTCCCCCAAACTTGCACGATATTTGCACTGTAAATTAAGAAATAATTATCACCGCATTAGCAGTTAAACACTGTTCTGTCCTTTAATGTCCCAGGACAAAGGTGTTAATTATTCATTGTCATTTAATGGATAAACTCTTAATGTACCATCATTAGCTAACAATTTTCAAAGGAAATGCTTTAATGAGGTATAAGAAAATGTGGGAGTTTTTACCTTAATTACGTGGTTCATAGATCAGAGTAATTAGATTCCAGCAGACTTTAGATATAATCTAAAAGTAATCACCACAGCTGCCAGCTGCTAAAATATTAAGTTAATTGTGCTCCAGAAAAGTTTGAAAWTTTTTTTGACCTTTTCTGTGGTTAACTTAGATTTAACTTGAGATTCGCTTTGAGAAATCAAAAAGAGCTATTAATACAAACTTAAAAACTGCGAACTGCTGCACTTGAGGGAATATTTGTAAAATACACTTTTAAAAAGCAAATAACTCCTTACCTGAATTTATGACAACATTAGGAAATACTTCAGAATTTTGAAAAAGAGTCATGTTTCTTAACACAGCATCAATCATTTATGTATTTCATACATTTTGTCCTAATCCAACAAGACAACTAATGAGGTAATGACTTTAGGAATTGGCCAGCGATTGCTCCTTGGAAGCTGAGGAACGTATAAAAGTTTAGACTAAATATGGGATGGGGGATTCTTACAGGCAGAGCAAACCAATTATCTAGAAATAGAATAGTTGCATTCTTAAGGGAAAACATTTGAGTATCACAAACTMAACAGAGAGGAAAGCATCAAGAGAAGGCTGTAGAGGTGTAGCAGGATGTTTCTGGAGAGGAATAGGAGATTACTGAAGGAATCTGCTTGCTAGTAAGAGCTAGCAAAAGCTAACAACTCCCTAGGCAGGAGTTTCCCCAGTAAGAAGGACTCACAAAGCAGAAGGATTTTTCCTGCTCATCATTGTTCTGGGGTTTACTGCTCTGTTCTCATGCCTTTTACACGCGTGGTTTCTTTACTGAGGAACACCTGGCATTAAACAGGGYTAGTTCCTATTTGATGGGGATGCTGTTAAAAAAAAGCAAAACCACAGCTGGCTCCGGAAAGGCAGGGAGTTAAACTTCCGTGCATGCTTGCAAATAGCGAGCCTAAGGGGATTGGAACAAACATCGTTTTGGAGTGAAGAAGGGAAGTTTATTAATGAAATGTAGTACATGATAAAGGAAGAACCTGGGAGAATAAAAATCCACCAGAAAAGWACCTGTCCATCCTCAAAACTTGGACAATGGTGCTGAATACTGTGYAGTCCTCCCCCCAGCTCATTTTAGGCAGGTCAGCTCCTTATTTCTGAGCACTGTGCGATTTTCAGTGCCTTTGCTACAGGAGTGGTCACATTTCTGAGAAATGGTCAGAACTGAGGTTCTTGTCCTTGTCTGTGTATTTGCAACAGGTGTAGAGCTGCTGCAAAATGAACCTGTGCCYTATCAAATAGTGTCCTAAACTTACATCACAGACACATATAAGGGATCACCTTGCCACCAATTTCCCCTTTTCCTCCATAAAGGAATGGCAACCATGTCCTTCTCTAGGAAAGGTATCTCTGTCTTCACAGAACCACAAATAGATGTTACCAGGCACTTCTTTAGCTTTTTTAGGTATCAAGACCTAGAGCTTACAGGGCCAACATCCAAAGAAGTCATTAGCAAAGATGCAAAAAAACCTGTTTTTTCTTTCAAGCAGGAATTGGACTTGTAGGCTTTCTCTTCCCCATGATCCCTAACCTGTGCAGAATTATTTGGGCGTTCCTTCCAGCCTGTGCTCACTAATGAATAGTAAAGGGTTTTTTTTTTTTTTTCTTTCTGGTGGGAAAAGGCACACCTGCCAGGTGTGGAGGGAAGAGCAAAAACATTCTTGCCCAGGGCAGCCTCTGATGTGGCAGATAGGAAGTTTTGCTGGGAAGCAGATGTGGATTTGGACCCTGACAGATGGAAAACAAAACTACCTAATGTAATTACTCTAGCTATTGTGCAAAACATGAAAAAAACCCTACATCAGTTCCTTTTTCTGACCAGGGCATTTTGCCTGCTCCTCTCAGCAGGGTGCTGTAAGCTGTGCTCCTTCAGTTCCTGCCACCAAATTCAGTGAGATTCAAGATGATGGAGTCTTGCTGTAACATTTCCCTCATCCTCACCTCAGTCCCTCCAGGAAGAGCACATTGCCTCTCTGGKTTTGATATGATTTAAGGATATGAATATGATTGTAGAGCTGAGTCTAAGCTCATTTTGGATTTAATTCTTTTTTCTACAATGACACACAAAGGGCCATGAGGTGTTTTAAGAACAATGTGCATGACATGAACTGCAGTGCAGCCCCAGGCAGGGGCTGTCAAGGCTCCCTAGGAGGGTGCAGGGGAGCCTTTGGGCTGCAGACCTGCCTAACTGCACCAGCTGGAAAGGGCTGCTCGGTTGGGAGCATYAACAGTCACTCAAAATGGGGTTCAGAGGATGAGGAATGGCAGAATCATGTAAAGGTTTGTTAAAAGGCATTTATACCTGCTTCAAACATGACTAGAAAAAATATGATAATTTAAAAAAATGGCTTTTAACTGATTCATGACTAATCAAACTCTCCAGGACAGAAAAAGCAACAAAAGAAAATAAAATCCTTGATGACTCTGACTTCCTTCTGCAAACTGTTTGTAGCTGTGAGAAAATTTGCATGATCTGTTTGTGTGTGTGTTTGCAGGAAAGGGATGCAGCAGGTACGGCGAACAGAYAGTGGCAGTATAAACCAGGATTCTGGACTAATAAAGTTATTTCAGAGAGAAAGGCTCTTTCTACCTCTCCTTTTGTGTGAGGTTAGGTCCCAAAATACTAACAGATGTGATCACTGAACCTAAGGGAGCAGGCAGCTGAAATAAGATGGAAAAAGGAAAAGTCCTTTTGCTGAGAAAGCAACTGCAGTGCTCCATGTGAGGCAACCCTGAGCCCTGCTCAGAYCCTTCCTCTGCACCATGAGGACCAGGGGGCAACAGAGGAGTGGTGTATTTGCAAAAAATGAAGATCATATCATCTGAGACTGCCTTGGGAAGAGCTACTGCTTTCTGGGGCTGGCAGGAGCCTCTGGCTGCCAGCACTGCTGCATCCAGASCCTCAGGGACAATGGCACAGAGGACAGGGGGATAAGGCACGTGCATGTACAGGCATTCCTTAGATCCTGGTGGGATCAGCCCCTTGAGGCCATTTCCACATCTGCCCAAATCTTAACAATTACGAGGAATCTAAAATTACATGAGAAAATTAAAATGGTTGGACTGAGCTGTCCATCCTGGTRCCCTCACTCTGGGACAGAACTGGCAGCAGTGGACTGAGGCAAAACCAGCAAAAGCAGGGCAAAGGCAGGGTAATCTCTCATCCTAMCCAGGCTGCCAGCAGCTGGCACTCTGCACTCACATCAGGCCCACATGGTTTATCAGTCCTGGAGAAAGAGTTGCAAAAGGCTATCTTAGAAAATATAAAACCCCGAGAAAGATACATGGTAAGTTCATCAAAGAGATGTACTATAGCAAAGCTCAAGAACACTCCCAGCACACAGATACATTTAAAATRCAAGGGAAAATTTAAAAAACCAAACAAACTGCAAAACCTCCCACTAATACATGAAGCAGAAGCAAGAAAACATTCTTTTCAGAGACTATCCACTTTAACATGGTRTCAAGAAGCTGAAAGTTAACATGGTAAAGGAGCATCAAAGTGAAAAAATGTAAGGAAAGCACTGCGACAGTCTTAGAAGGTTTAGGAAACATATCATATGTGTTAAGTGAAGGGACAGCAAGAATTAACAGCACCTTCTTGTTGGGACCATTGGGGTAGATAAGCATTCCTGTGACACCTGTCATTTAAACAAAAGAGGTTTTGGCATTTAAAGAAGAATGCAGGGAGAAATTCTTCTTATCTTCCCAGGCACAAAGGCTGGATATATAAAAAAAAAATGCATGTTGATCATGCAAACAGAAAATGCTGTCTCACTAAGGGCTTATGCACACATGGAGTGCTGTGGAAGCAGCTGCTTCTGATCAGGCCCTCAGTGAGAACACACTGAAAATACTTCTTAGCATTAAAAGAGATAAGCCT